AGATTACCTGTACAGTACTTTCTATATTCAAAACAAGTGGAATATATACTAGGATTAATGATTGGTGAGAAAACATTCTGTACAAGTCCAGAGGCTGTGACAAAAACTGGAAATAAATCCAGTGAGTGTTTATTATTACTATTATAGTATTAAACAAGTATAGCAGGTATAAATAAAAGGAATGAATAAAAATGGTAAAATGCCTAATGCTACTGTAACAACGGGCAGATTATTCTGTACCTATATATTGCAAGAATTATCATATACACACCTAGGTAGGTCAAGGCATTTCCCAAATTCAGTATTTGAATGCCGCAGGCATGTTTTGACCTACGACCTACGACCACAATTGAGTCCAAAATATATGTTGCTAAGTGAGACATTTGTTAAGTGAATTTTGCCCCACTTTTCTTGCCATGATTGTTAAGTGAATCATAGCAGTTGTTCAGTTAGTAACAGAGTTATTAAGTGAGTCAGGCTTCCCCATTGACTTGGCTTATCAGAAGATTGCAAAAGCTGATCCTGGGACACTATAACCGTCATAAATTGGAGTCAGTTGCCGAGGGTCTAAATTTTGATCACGTGGCTATGGGGATGCTGCAGTGGTGTGCAGAAGTCACTGTTTTCAGTGCCATTGTAACTTGGAACGGTCATTAAATAAACTTTCAAATTGTGGAGGTTAATCCCAACTTTTTATACTGGAGAAAGGAACAGAGTATACGGCCAGGCTAAAATAGCTGTACTGTAATGTCTCTTTTCTTAGTTGTTTTCTTATACACACCTAGACGTATATAAACAACAGTTCCAACAGTTCATTTAGTGACCATTCGAAGTTACAATGGCACTGAAAAAAGTTACTTATGACCATTTTTCACACAACTGTCACGTGATCAAAATTCAGATGCTTGACATCTGGTTCATATTTATGACCAGGGCTCTGTCCCAGGGCCATGTGATCCCCTTTTGCGACCCGAAAAGCAAAGTCAATGAGGAAGCCAGGTTCACTTCACAACTTATGTTACTAATTTAGCAATTGCAATGATTCACTTAACAACAGTGGCAAGAAAAGCCGTAAAATGGAACAAAACTCAACAAATGTTTAACTTAGCAATGTAAATTTTGGGCTCAGTTGTGGTCGTAAGTCGAGGACTACCGGTACACATACACATATCAATCTTGTGTATAAAATATACTCAGGGACAAGAAGTGCCAAATTAATATTGTAACTGGAAGAAATAAAATTAACATAAGGTTTGGGGTGTAAAAGTGTTAAGTTCTGATTAATACAAGAAAGAAACATAAGGGGATCTATGTTATTCACAAAAAAGATTATCACAACAGGAAAATAAAATTGCAGATTCACTTTTATACCGGTACTTTAACAAATAGTACAGATTTAACACTGAGGAATCAGCTGCAAAATAGAGCACACATTTTAAACATTTTTGTAAAAAGTTAATCTCCTTCCAGATGTTTTCTTTAGAGATCTGAATTCCCCTGGCAATTTAGACTCCCTATCATTGTGGGTGGGGAAAAAAAAACATTGCAAAAGTCATGGTTGCTCTATCGGTGTCCTTGGTGAGGAGTGCTCTCATCTCTGGCCAAACAAGAATAATAAAAGTGGGACAGGAAAGCAGGAACAAGGGAAAAAAATAAGGAATAAAAAGTGAACTCCAATTAACCCCTCATGTATTTGACAGAAAAAGCACTGTTTCTTATTGCCATTCGCATAATTTTCCCAGAGCCATTGTTGACAGAGATGAAATGTATATACTCCTGCATGAGTTATTTTGCTTTTTATGAGCGCCTGCAATTCAACCATCTGTCCTCACACATACCATTTTCATACATTTATGAAGAAAGCAGCACACCACCCTTCTTGTGAATGAGTGCCTTCAGATTCAGGACTTGCTGAGCAATAAGGGCTGCTCTGTTGAAGAGGCAGGTTTGGAAGAAGATTGAGAAAGTTCTCTGAAGACAACAAGTAGAAACCTCCAAAGAAAATATCTGCTGGATTACTTTTATCAGGTCTGCAGAAGCAAACTTCTCACTCTTCCATCCTGCCTAGCCTAGCTTGAGTTGATTCCCCAGGGAGAGAAGACAGCCAGATCCTCCTGGTGGAAAATCTTCCTAAGAGGGAACAAAGGGGGAGAGAGTGAGCACCCAACTAATGAGTTGCTTGTATGTCTACAGTTAAGGCTAGAAGGCTGATTGAGACTCTACTAAGAGTCTAGGACAGCAGAGGTCAAACTCTTGAATGTTGAATTGTCAATGTTGCCTTGAGTTCTTAGTTTGTATTGCCTAGGCTCCAAAATGTCTACTTTCATTTTCAAACCCTACCCTTGACTGTTCACCAGAGAATAAGATTCAGCAAACATTTGGCTAGTTCGGTGTTTGCTTCCACTTAGTCATCACCAGTCAGTTTTCAACTTTGATTTATTTTTCTCCAAATAACACACCTTATGACTTTGCCATCTGATTCTTGTGGCTGCTTTCATTTGGTACAGTTATTAGGCCTGGTAGTACTTACTTTATCCATATTGCTAATTTCGCTTCACCAAAAGTCAAAGCTCTTTGCAAAGAGGCTGGAAATGTTTTTACTACTGCCATCTATTTGAATCCAGTATGGCTAGTCTAATATTTGTGATGATCTGTTGTGCTTGGGCCAGGAGACAACAAAAACAGAGCAGCATATCATACAGTAAATGCTGTTTTCCATTAACCTACATGTGGAACTGTTTTAAGCATATGCCAAGAATGACAGTATCTGGTAGTCATGATAGAAACTTCTGTGTGATGCTAGAGGGACAACTTTCCACTGTCCATGATAACATCCTCATCCCACCCAGCCTGGATTTAGCATATGAGAGCTGTAGCCAACCATATCTGGAGGGCACCTTGTTCAGAATAGTATAAAAATAACTGATAAACAAAGAATATTGATACTTGCATGTTAGAGAAAGAGAGCTCTGGTGTTTTGTTATCTACTCATGCATAAATGAAGTATGAGCTTTAGGATGGGAAAAGAATGGAATAGTCTCTTCTCTTGATCCCATCTTCACAATCTATAACAGAGGTCTCCAAACTTGGCAACTTTAAGACTTGTGGACTTCAAATCCCAGAATTCTCCAGCCAACATAGTTTTAAAGTTGCCAAGTTTGGGGACCCCTGATCAATAAGTTCTCTAAAAGTGTTCTCATTCCGTCTGAGAAAAGGTTTTATTTGTTTAATAGCTATCACAAATAGCTATCACAAACAGCTATAAGCCAAAAGCCTACTTATGGGAATGTAATGGGAGCTTTTAAAAAAACCCCAATCTACAGTGTAGCTCCTGATTTCTGGGAGGAATTGCCAACACTTTGGAACAAAGGTCTTCAAACTTGGCAAGTGTAAGACTTGTGGACTTCAACTCCCAGAATTCCTGAGCTAACATGACTGGAAGAGGAATTCTGAGAGTTGAAGTCCACAAGTCTAAAGCTGACAAGTTTGAAGACCCCTGCTTTGGAAGATAGACTCAAGATTCAGAAGGATCTTGACTTGACAGACTTGAATGCTGGGCCCTATCGGACAAGATGTAGTTCAGTGGGGAGAAAAGTAAGGTCCTGCACTTAGGCAAGAAAAACCAGATGGACAGGTACAGGACAGGCTGTACCTGGCTCAACAGTAGTGCCTATGAGAGAGGGATCTCAGGTGTCCTGGTGGGCCATCTCTTAAGTATAGGTCAGAAGTGCTGCAGCTGCCAGAAAGAATTCAAGGCTGTCCTAGGCCACATCAACAGTGGGTTAGCATCATGATCACAGGAAGTGATAGTACTGCTTTATACTTTGCTAGTGAGGCCACACTTGGACTATGACATAACTTGGAATACTGCATCCAATTATGGTTACCATGACACAAAACAGATGCTGAGACCCTAGAAAGAGTCCAAAGAAGAGCAGCAAAGGTGAAAAAGGGCCTGGAGGCTAAGTCATCCCATGTTCAATTAAAGGAACAAAGTATGTTCAGCCTAGCTAAAGGAAGGCTTGGGGAGGACATGTCTTCCGATACTTGAAGGGCTGTCATGGCGAACAGGGCATCTATTTATTCTCCATAGCATCTGAAGGCAGGACACAAAGTAATGGATAGAAGATCATCCGAGGGAAATCCAACCTGGAACTAAGGAGTAATTTTCTGATGGTATGAACGATTAAGCAATGGAACAACTTGCCTCCTGGAGTCGTGGTGCTCCATTCTACAACACCTTAACACAAACTACCCCCTAGATTTATCCAATGTGCTAGCTTGAAATGCGGTTGGCCAGCAAGCAAGGCTGCCTCCTCATCCTTCTGGAAGTTAAGGATGCACAAGGAGGGCTACCATAAGCAAGGGCCATTCTCCAAAGGGGGGAGGGGAGAGAGAGGAAGGAGCAGGAATCTCAGTTGTGAAATGGATACCTGTCAGGTTTGCAGAGGCCACGTATATTCTTTTCCACCACCACCACCACCAAACTTTTGAGCCCACCACCCTGACAGAAATGCGTTACCCACGCGTAAGAACTCTTGAGCAGGCAACGACCAGGATGGGATGCGAGAATAGCCAAGTGTAAACTCTACTCGTCCTCCGCATTGCAAATACCTATGACCGTCTCGCCTCGGTCCTTCGAGGAACCCATCCACTCTGCCGTCTTACTTAGGAGAAGAATTGCGGGGAGGGTCTCGTGGCGCGTGAAACCTGTGTGAAATCGCCACGCAACATCCACTTTCCTTTGAAGCACCCATTTCGCACCCCGTTCACCCTGCCAAGCGACAGTCTGATCCAAGTCCTAAAAAAACGCTGCCACCCACCCACACTCACACACACACACACATACCAAAGGCGAGTCTGCCACCTTGAACGACACCGAGCAATTTCTACGTAAAGGAAACCGAAACTTGGGTCAGTCCAGCGGGGATCACATGCGCGCCGCTATGTGCCCGTTCAAAAGCCGCGCTCTCCTCTCGAGCGCCGCAAACCCGAAGCAGACGCGCGAAGAAGGCACCATGCACCTGCCTCCCCGCCAGCTCCTCCGTCTCCTGCTCCAAGCTCTGGCGGCTCTCTGGAGCCGGCTGGCCCTCCTCTGCCTTTGGGGCCCGGTCCGCCGCAAAGTCTCCCCGAGCTCAGCTCCGAAACCGGGCGCCGTTCCCCCGCCGGTGCCGCTCAGCGTCAACTACCACTTCACCCGCCAGTGCAACTACAAGTGCGGCTTCTGCTTCCACACCGCCAAGACTTCTTTCGTCCTTCCGCTGCAAGAGGCTAAGAGGGGGCTCCGGTTGCTCCAAGAGGCCGGTAAGTGACCCTTTCCCCTTGCCGGCTCCGGGAAGCTACGGAGGGGTGGGGGTTAAACTAGTGGCGGAAGAGTTCCGGCTCTTATCGGTGGGGTTCGGTTCGCATCTTGTCATTTGAAATATCGTGGGAAAGCACCAGATCGCCTCTATCTTTGCTTCACGCTTCTGGGATACCAAACTGCTAGATGAAAGTTTAAGATGCATTTTTTATTTTCTTGACCGCTTCTTTCTTCTTCTTCTTCTTCTTCTTCTTCTTCTTCTTCTTCTTCTTCTTTTCTTCTTCTTCTTCTTCTTCTTCCTTCTTTCTTCTTTCTTCTTTCTTCTTTCTTCTTTATCTTCCTTCTTCTTCATCTTCGTCTCCGTCTTCGTCTTCTTCCTTCTTCTCCTTCTTCTCCTCCTCCTCCTCCTTGCCAATGATGTTAATGCTGCCTTTTGAATATTTTTTTCAATATTCAGTGAATATTTGAATATATATTTATTTATTAGA